ATATATATATTCTGTGTCCCACTTCCTCTCCACGATCCCCTCTCCTCTTATTTTATATTAAAATCCAATTTCACTTCCAGACAGGCAACCCAAAAAAAAAAAAAAAAAAAAAAAAAAAAGGCAGTCAAAAGAGAAGTTAGAAAAAATAACAGAAAACAACCGAACAGCCTCAAAGATGGAGGCAGACGATTAAAAAAGAAAATAAACAGCAAAATCAACAGTGAGGAAGTGGTTGGTGCAGTTTATTTTGTGTTGAAGGATAATCCGTCAGCTGCAGCAAGATCCGAATCGCTGCAGACTTAGTGCCGGTGTAGAGTTGTAGAGGTGTCCAGGCAGGGTGTTAAAAGTGATGAACACACACATACGCACGCGCACACAGTCTCACACACACACACACACACACACACACACGGTTGGTTACAGTCTGTGGTTATGGTGTGTTAAAGTAGGGAGGGAGGAAGGCGGAGGAGGAGGATGGAGGAGGAGGACAAAGAGGAAGGGCGGGCTGCGTTTAGTTGTGGATCTTGATTGCTTTCTCCAGGTAGGTGTAGCGGCCTCTCTTTGGAGCTTTGTTGAAATGATCCAACCCGAGCCAGGGCCGCGGGTGGGACATGTTACCTGGAAGGAGACGCGTCAAGAGAGGTCATTTCACACCAAGTCTCTTATTGAACGTTATCTTTATGATACGGAGGAATACTTAAATTACCGTTAACCTAAAAACACAAAAAAAAACATGGATGCCAACATAGCGGGCTCCAGGGAAGCTAAACGCAGGGTTATAAAGAGCTAGGTGCAACTTCTGCAGTGGACAATCAAATAGAAGCAAAGTGATAAACCCGAGCTTGTTAAATACACATTGAGACAAGATTAAACACAAAGGTTTAAATGGCAGCATTAAATCTCTCCTGACTCAGCAATCACAAGGTAAGAAGTACAACCACGGTGTTCAGATTAGAAGCATCGAGCAGGAATGTGCTCTGGCATGAATTTCATTGGTCAACAGTCCGTTGCCGCATGATGACACACTAACAGTTAACATCTGATCTCCCAGGACCGTCCTCGTTGATGCATTAGCACGCTTTCGTTTGGTTGTAGCCAGTCATGTCACGATATGAGATTTTGATATCACCATCGTAGTGACAGCTTAGTACATCAGCTCGTTACGTGTTTTTTTTTTTACCTCGACATAAAGGAGTTGGTTATGATTATCTCAAAGTGTTGGACCCCTTTGCAGTAACATTTTTGACCGCACGCTTTTCATCTTGTATGAGACCTCCCGGGTCATTTCGTAGATATCCAAAATGTTCCCACACTGGAGATTCAAGGCTCATTTTTTGGCAGATATAAGGAACGTCAGTTCCCTCTGACAGCTCTTCTTCTCAACGCTGCAGTCTCTCTAACACTTCACATATCCCTGTACCCCTGGTTAAAGCCCGTCACTACGGTAACATCAGAAGCAGTAAATACCTGGCTGTGGTTCAAAGTCCTTCAGGTTGACCTCGTACTCGTCCTCGGTGATGTAGTGATGCCGCCCCATCATCACAATCGCAAACTTGAACTGAGAACGAACACAGACAGTCGCACGTTACTGGACAGCTAACCCCAGTACAACATATTCAGACCGACTGGTTACATGTAGTTCTGTGTATAACACATTAAAACGTCTTCTATGCATAAAACTAGAACAGTTTCTGAGACATTTAATGAAACATGCGCATCAATTATTCACCGTAAAACATTTAAAATGAACTCAGACAGTTATCCCTGGTCGTGTTTTACCTTCTCAAATTCTTTCTCCTGAATGTCCAGCATGGCCTGAATCCTCCTCATCACCTCACGAAATGACTCGCCCTGTGGGGGAGGGGAGGGGGGGACAGCAGTGGTCAAGGAAGGAAACAACCAGGCAATCACAGAGCATGCAGCTGGCTTTCTGAGTATTACATCATAATCAGACTAGAAACACACACACCTGTCTGATCTTGAGCAAGAAGGGGATCCCGAAGGTGCCGAAGACTTCCTTGTGGAAGTGAGCGACGGGGATCAGCATTTCACTGTCCTTGTCCAAGTCCACCTGGTCCAAAGGAAGCTCCTGAGGGAAGGACATGGGGGGGGGGGGGGTGAAAACAGAGTGTCTGGCGAACGAGGAGGTGAGGGAAGGAGAGCAACAGAGA